TTTATAGAATTCCAGGAAATATCGATGGCAAAAATATAGGATAAAGGAGAAGGTGATCGAGCCCAATATTCCTATACGCAACCTCCCCAGCTCCCCGTTCCCCAACAACCGCCAGCATCTCAGTATACGCAACCTCCACAGCTCCCAGTTCCTCAACAACCACCAGTACCTCAGTACACGCAACCTCCACAGCTCCCGGTTCCTCAACAACCACAAGCACCTCAATACACGCAACCTCCACAGCTTCCCGTTCCTCAACAACCGCCACCAATGGTACGTCCTAACGCTCCTAGGTCTCGCATTGATCCTAATCAAATTCCATCACCGGTAGTCGTTCAGGAACAAGATCAACATCTATTCGATGAACAACCATATATGACTCGTTCTAAATCAACAATACCACTCGCAAGTACTGATTTTAGAGCCATTGATGAAGGTAATCCTAAGTAAATGCTGTTATACAAATTGATTAGGTGATTGATTTTTTAAAATAACATAAAAACCACTCCAACTTCTCCAAAGGCAATTCCAATCCTAGGTTTATTAGATTGACCTTATATTCTATACCACATACCGAAGAACTTCTTCAAACATCCCATTTACCTCTGGGTGTCATATTACAACCTTTGGCCAAGTTGAGAAGCGATGAGGTTCTTTTTTTAGATTATTGTCATTTTTAATTTTCATAGGTTGAAGATTGACTCTTTTCAATTAGGCTCCAGTAGAACTTGTCGATTTTCAAGATAATGGGCCAGTTCGTTGTAGGCGGTGCAAAGCATATATAAATCCCTACGTAATGTTTGTGGAGGGTGGACAAAAATTTATATGCAATATGTGTTTGTTTTCTAATGAAGGTTTGTTTCACGCTAGAAAATTAATCAGAATATAACTAGGTATATAATTCGTTATAATGAAATTTAATACTTTATCACTATTTTTTTAAAAGTTCCTCCTGAATATTTCTGCAACTTGGACATGAATGGACTGCGTGCAGACATAGATCAAAGACCGGAGTTAAAATATGGAACAGTGGAATTTACGGCACCACAAGTGCGTCATAATACTGAATTTGTGTGAAATATTGATACATTTTATATATATATATATTTATTTATTATTATTATTATTTTTTTTTGTATAGGAATATTGGGCTCGATCACCTTCTCCTTTATCCTATATTTTTGCCATCGATATTTCCTGGAATTCTATAAA